TTGACTCAGCTTTCCATCCTTTCAAAGTCAGTAAAATGAGGACCCAGACTGTTGGGGGGGGGGGGGAAATATGCTGATTCTATAAATCACTTAGAGAAGGCTGTAAAGCATAGTGAAGTGGTATATAAGTCTAAGTGCTATTGCTATTTGCCAAAATAGCCCCAGCAGTCTCAGCCAGAGTAGTTGCTATTTGCCAACGTTAATAATGGAGGAGACTGAAACTCTTGTTTAGTTTCATAGCCATACTCCTACTACATTATTAATATAGCAGCAAGAACTATTAAAATATGAAGCAACATATTACTTAAAAGGCTTAACTAAAGGATGATATTACACCAACTCTAACTATATTCATTTTTTTCTGGCAGTCTTCCATAATTTTTCACAATTCTCAAATAAATGTACTTAGGATCAATCCTCAGGTAGTAGACATGTTGCATGTTATCCACTGATTGTACATGTATCTGGCTTGATTATGCCTCAATTCAAAGAAAAGCTATGGAATTCCCAAAAGGGTTCTATGGGTGAGGTTACACACCTTATTTTGCATGTCATTAAATTAAGCTTAATGTTCCAATGCAAGTGAAAACTAAACTGATCCACAGAATGTTAAAATGCTAACTCTTTCTCATAAATGTGAACACTTACCAGGCTTCTTTCTTCTGAGTTGTGATAGATATGATACCGTGAGAAAGGCTGACCTCATCTGCAAGAGAGAAAAAGTAACATTACAAGCTGGCAGCACAGAATATTGAGGGTTTTGTATAATTTACAATCATGTAATTTCAAAGCAATACAGCCTTCCCAGCAGATAAACTCACCCAGCTTGTGTGCCTTCATGGGGGTGATTTTGGATTAGCATGGGATTTCTAACCCACGCTATTTAATCTTGAACACAAACAATTTGATATAATCATTTTTGCAGTAAAGCAGTTTAAAATAAATAACAACAGATTTGAAATTAAGCATGTCCACACATTCTTTTTATACAAGTCATTTTTTTTAGTCCTGCTTGGTTTTGTTTGAATAATTTCACCATTAGGAGTGAGACCATATATTTTGCATTTTCTAAACCGCACTCAAGAAAAGAGGTATTGTGCATTTGATAATATTAAAATCTTTCTTTCTCTGAATTGGATTGAAGTTTCTATTTTAAACATAAAGAACAATGTACTTAAAATAATGTGTGTGCTGCAACTGCCAAAAAAGCCAACACAGTCCTAGGCAGTATTAACAGAGGAATAAAATTAAGATCACATTAAGTGTTACTACCACTTTATAATGCTTTGTATTGTATCCAGTTTTAGTCACTACAATATAAAAAAAGATGTTGAAACTCTACAAACAGTGCAGAGAAAAGCCACAAAGATAATTAAGGAACTGGAGGCTAAAGCATATGAAGAACGGTTGCAGGAGTTGGGCAATTTAATTAAAAGAAGGATGAGGGGTGACATGATAGCAGTGTTCCAGTATTTGAGGGGTGCCACAAAAAATAGGGGGTGAACCTATTTTTCAAAACACCAGAAGATAAGACAAGAAGCAATGAATGGAAACTAATCAAGAGAAGCAACCTACAACTAAGGCATTTTACATTTTAAAAAGAGTATTATTATGTCCCCTCCTAAAGTCCTGTGGTTCTTCCTGATTGTGGTTGGGGGTATTTCTGGGAGGGATAAGCAAAGAACATCAAGGACTGTATGCCAAAAGTATACATTCCCAGCAGGCACTACCAAAGGAATGAAAGTCCTTCCACCTGCACAGTTAAAGCGAGAAGACATCTATATTCGGCAGCAATGATATTGGAAGCAGATGATATACAGGTAGTCCTCAATGAGAACTCACAAATGGAACTGGAAATTCAGTTGTTAAGTGAAGCAGTTGTTAAGTGAAACCATGACTATGCTGACAATCTTATTATAGCTTTTCTTTCCTTTGCAGATCTGTGAAGGTTGTAAATGGGAGGATTGGCTGCAAAGTTAGTTTTTAATTACAACTGTAACTGCAAAGTGTATGAAGCAGTCAGTAAGTGAGGTCTACCTATGTGGGATATAGGAAGCGAATAATCGCTTTAGTGACAATGGTAAGGCAACAATTCATATTGCACAAGACAAAGCAATGGCAAATCACTCCTGCATTTTTACCAAGAAAACCACATGGAATAGAAAACAGAAAATGATTGAGAGTACAGTGCTGGGTGATAGGCCCCTCAGGTCAGATGGCATTCCATATGTTATTGGAGAGCTCAGAATCTTTCAGAGTACTAATGGTGTTTTGACATGGCTAGAATTAAAGCCTGTAGGATGTCTAATTGTTATATTGCCCTACAGGAAAAGAAGATCCAAAGCTATAAAGACAGAATTACAGAAGGAACATGGAATGCAAGAAGCAAGAACATGGGGAAGTTCAACAGAATGAAAGATTAAGTGAAATGACTACAAATTGACATTTTAGACATTAGAGAATGGAAATGGATTGAAATTGTATCTCTTTAATCAGATCAGACTGTTTAGTATTCAGGACATGAAAAACAAAGAAGGAATGGCACTGCTTTTATAGTTACAACGAATATAGTAAGAACAGTACATCACTACAGTGCAATCAATAGCCAAATAATATTGATGAGCTGTTGTGTATAGCCCTTTAATATGGCGATCATTCAAATTTATGTTCCAGCTGCCAATGCAGAAGAAGAGGAAGTTGCTGTATTTTATGATCACGTTCAATTTGGAACCAACAGAAGATGCAAGTAAAACGAGTTTCTTGTGATTGGAGACTGGAATGCCAAAGTTGCCAATACGAAAGAGGAAAACATAATTGGATTGTATGATTTAGAAAGCTAAAATGAAGCAGGAGACCAGCTTATAAATTTCTGCCACTCCAATGAATTCTTCATAGCTAATTCAAACAACCAAAAAAATATCTCAATGCATTAACATTACCAGATAAAATATGTGGAAATCAAATTGATTTATGTTGTTGCTAAATGAAGTAACTCAATTAGAGCAATAAAGACATGGCCAGGTGCTGACTGTGGAACAGATCCCAAACTGCTCATATGTAAATTCGAAGTTAAACTAAAGAAAAAGAAAACTAGTTAATTTGTACGAGATGATCTTGAAATACACCCATCATTTTCAAGGATGAATTAGGAATTGTTTTGAAGTTCTGAACCTAATTGATAGAAAATGAGAGGAACAGTGGAAAGAATTTAAAGAACGACTTCTTTAAGGATTAATGTGAAAAGAGACTGCCAGAAATGAAGAAACAGAAGAAAGTAAAAAAGGAGTCAAAACAACCATGGAAATTGCCAAGAAGAGAAGCCAAAGCCAAGAAAGACCAAAATCTCAGAAATAAATTTAACAAAAAATTACAGAGACTTGTTAGTAGAGACAAGAAGCAGGATTTCAACAACATGTGTAAAGACACTGAAAATTGAAAAACAAGGAATGTCTTTCAAAAGATCTCTGAATTCAGAAGTAGTTCCAACCTCAAATTGGTATGCTAAAAATACCAATGGACAGATAGCAACAGATTCAAAGGAGATTAAACAAAGATAGGAGTGTACTGAAATACTGTACAGTAAGATGTCAACAACCAAGATTCCTTAGAAAATATTCCTCACTTATAAGAATCTCTAGAAGTAGAAGATGAAGTTAGATCAGCATGCTTTTGACTACCAAGTCTGAAGGCTACAGGAAGTGACAGAATACCCACAGACCTTTGGTAAGTAACAGAAGAAGAATCAGTAAAAGCTCTAACTAAGCTATGCCAGCATATTTGGGGAATGACATAGTGGCCAACAGATTGGAAGAGGTCAATCTATGTACTAATACCAAAAAAGGAGGCTTAACAGAGTGTGCAAAGTATTGTACAGTATCCTTAATTTCACATTCTAGCACAAATAATGCTTAGGATCATCCAATACAGATTAGAGCACTATATGGAAAAAGAGATGCCAGATGTTCAAGCTGGCTTTAGAAAAGGCCAAGAAACATCAGACATTTATGTTGATGCACAATGGATAATTGAGATAGCCCAAAATACTAGAAATAATTTAGCATGTGTTTCATTGATTATAGGAATGCCTTTGGCTATGGTGAACACATCAAGTTGTAGAAAATGCTCATAAAAATGGGAATCCCATTGTCCTCATGAAAAATTTACATACATCAGGAATAGGGTTGGGTTCCTGCCAGTTCTAACCTCTTCTATAGAAGAGGTTCCACAAATCTACAGTGCCGTTTAGAACCGGTTTCAGCTCCCTCCTCCTGCCCGTCCGCACATCATCAAGATGAAGAGCAAGAGGAGGAATTCTGGGAGTTGAAGTCCACAAGCCTTAAAGCTGTCAAGTTTGAACACCCCTGGGGTATTTTTTCTCTAAAGGGTTAGGGATGCAAGGGTTGACAGCTTTGACAGCTTTAAGACTTGCGTGCTTCAAATGCCAGAGTTTCTGAGCCAACATTTTGGTTGCTAAGCAAGAGCGTTGTTAAGTGAGTTTCACCACATTTTACAAGTTGGCCACGCCCATCCAGTCACATGGCTGGCAAGCCACTCCCACCCAGTCATATGGCCAGCAAGCCATTCCCACCTGGTCACATGGCTGGCAAGCCACGCCCACAAAGCAGGCCACACCCACAGAAGAGGTTCTAAAAAAATTTGAAACCCACTACTGGTCAGGAAACTACCGTATAGACAGAACTTTATGAAACAGGCAGGCTCCAGGTTGGCACAGGAGTGTGACAAGGCTGCGTGCTCTCTCCTTATTTATTCAACCTACATGCTGAATATATATTAAGAGAATAGAAAGAAGATGAGTGTGACAAATGGAGGAAGAAGCATCAATAAACTTTGCAATGATGATAGTTGGTTATTAATCACTGATAGTTAAAAATACAAAGGATTTAATAACTAAAATCAAGAAACACGCTGAAAAAAATGGGACTAAGATTGAATTTAAAGAAGAACTAAGGACAACAGGTAGAATAACCAGCCTTAGGACTGATGATGAAGTTATCAAAGTGGTGGATAACGTCTGCTTTTTAGACTCAACCATCAACAGTTAAGGGACAAGCAAGCAACAAATATGGCACAGACTAGCACTTGAAATACATTATATGAAGGTCTTTAAAAATATTGAAATAGTGGTTGTGTCCATACCTACAAAGATAAAATCATGGCATTCTCTATAACATTTGATGGAAGCAAAAATTGAAAGCAGGACGTTGATTCAGCTTTCCATCCTTCCGAGGTCAGTAAAATGAAGGCCCAGATTGTTGGGGGCAATATGCTGACTCTGTAAACTGCTGATAAAAGCACTATGAAGCGGTATATAAGTCTAAGTGCTATTGCTATTATTGCCACTTTTGAACTTTGGAGTTGGAGAAGAGTTCTGATAATATTATGGGCAGCCATAACAAGTGAACAAATCAATCCAGAGTTCTCACTCAAACATAAATGATCATACTGAAATTCAGACACACATTATGTAAAGATACAGTTTTCTAGTGCTCTGGGCTGAGAAAGGTGGCAATAAAGAGAAAAAAACCAGTGGGAAGGTGAATAGACTCAGTTATAATAGTGATGAGTGTACTATTGGAACACCTGAAAATTCCAGAAAAGGGACAGATCACCAAGGGAAAATCTGTTTCCAGTACCATGATTTGATGACACAATATATCAATCAACTATAATGTAATATATACATTA